CTGTTCCAGTTACTATGACCATTTATGTGAAGCTGCTTTGACACAATCTACATTGTAAAAGCGCTATACAAATAAAGCTGAATTGAATTCAAGTGCCTGGAATGTGTGGGCTAAAACAAACCACGCTGTGGTTGCTGTTGCTATCACTGACACTGTGTTATGTCATTTTCTTTCATCTGGGGCTGGCAATCGAATACAGAGCAGAGCCTGACGTTGGCACAGAGAACTGCACAGAAACAGGGATGACATCAATACAAGCAAACCATTCCAAAAGGCTGCGTTTCAAGAGAGCATCAAAGGTGACAATTGCCATACCAGTTTACAGTGGACAAGAGAAAGTGGTGACCCTGACTGAAGGGGGAGCGGTAAAGTTTTCCTGTAACCCTTATTTTCACAACTGTCCATATTGTGCTAGACCAGAGTAGGAGGGCACAAGCAAGGCTGAGTATGCCAAAGTATACTTTTGCAAAGACTCATGCAAGTGACAAGATGGAAAGGCCTATAGCAACCCAGCTGTATACAGAACAGATGACCGATTTGAAGTAAAGAAGAGGAATCGACGAGGAAACAACAAGGTGAAAATGTCTGACGTAGGCACTTGTTACTGTGGTATTGATGTGCAGGGAGCAGACTGGTATGAGACTTTCACAATTGTAGTGAGGAAACCAGTTCCAGACCCAGTCAAAGCTCTCGTAGGACCGTGTTTGAGCCAATGATGACAAGCGAGAAAGCCTGAATTAGGAACGATGGTGGAGACAGAGGAAAAGGAGTGAACACACCAGTGAAAGAAACTATGTTACAATACCAAGGAAACAAGGCGTGCACTTTGGCTCTGTTACAGATGAGGGAGCTTTAAATTAACACAAGCTGCTGGCTATGTTTGTAAATGTACCACTCCTGGAGTGCAGCCCCCCTAACGGTGAGAGCATGGAATGACACCAAGTGCCTGATACAACTTCAGATGACAGATGTCTTTGAGGCTGGAAAAGACATTGGCAATAGCTCCAAAAACAACACCTGATTTGAGCTGTGAAGCATCATGAATGAATAAGAGATCTGGAATAATGCTACCATCTCTGCGAGTTGTGCATACAAGAGGAGATGTGTGTGTGTGTGTGTGTGTGTGTGTGTGTGTGTGTGTGTGTGTGTGTGTGTGTGTGTGTGTGTGTGTGTGTGTGTGTGTGTGTGTGTGTCATCCTTCGAGAGAGCATTGGTCTGATTGCAGACTGAAGATAGAGACAGTGAACAAACCACCGTACAACCGCACAGAAGTGATCAGAGGTACAAGAAGATACTTCACGTGTCCATTTGGCAGCCCGACTGACACGTCATCAGCAGCCGTGTGGGTCTGTGGAGAGCATTCCACTCACTACCAACAGGGGGGTGGTCTGGGTGTTTCTATTCTGCTTTGATGAATGTGGGTACTTCTGTTTATCTTCCAAGTGCTGATGAAAACACAGGGGGAAGACGTAAAAGAAGTGTTAACATTTTACCTGGTGAAATACCTTATAGATACAATGGGCGTGTGTTATTTTATCCTTGGACATCATAGGGGGCTAATGTTGGGTGGTGAAGGTTTTTGGGAGGAGGCACAGCCATAAGCAAAAACCTATGAAGGGAGGGATTGTTAATTAAATTGAACAAAAGTATAGAAGTAAAATTTTATCACTGGGTGCTTTATAAATTCATAAAACACTTAAGATTATAAATGTAGGAATATGACTTGCACTTTATGCAGACGATGGAGCATTATGGAAAAGATGATGCAATATTAGAAATGTCAATAAAGGAGTACAGGAATCAATTAATAAAGTTGAGGAATGGTCCCTGGAATGGGGCTTAAAGTTCTCACAATCAAAAACAAAATACATGATACTTAGAAAAAACAAGAAAATTGTACAAACAGATCTAAAGTTATATGATCAGATATTGGAAAGAGTACCTGTTTTTAAATACTTTGGTTTGTGGTTAGATGAAAGTTAACATGGAAAGTTTATAAATAAAGTCTAAACAAAATGTAAAATGATTATAAATTGTAATCACTCAGTTGCTAGTCGCAACTGGGGAGCTATAGTCGTAGTACATTGCTGTGTATGTATGAAGCATTGATTCAATCTTGCTTGGATTATGGTTGCATTGTGTATGGATCAGCATAAGTATATATTGAGAAAATCAATCTCCAACAATCAGTTAGTAACCATCCTACTGATAAAGTACTAGAAAATTGCTGAGAATGCTCATATGAAGGACGGATAGCTTTAGATGGAAGAGTAAAAAGTTGGCTAAAAGAATATGGTATGGACAACATGATTTTCTGTCTCAATATACCACTCACTGATGTCCGACTATGCAGAGCTCCTGAACCATGTGTAGATTTAAGCTTGCTAAGTAAACCTAAAGATGAATATAGTGGGAAAAAAGAAATGCCTTTTTGAATAATTTGTTTTATTTAACCCTATATATATATAAAAATATATAACCCTATATATATCTGTAAAAAAAAAAAAAAAAAAAAAAAAAAAAATATATATATATATATATATATATATATATATATATATATTTTTTTTTTTTTTTTTTTTTTTTTTTTTTTTACAGATGGATTTAAGGAATAGTTGTAAAAAGATAGAAATAGGTGTCAATATTCCAGAGTTCAAAATACTTTATTTAAAATAGCCCAATCAGTATACACAGAGTTAACAGCTATAATCATAGCATTAGAATGGGTTGAACAAGTCAGACCAAATTAGTAATTTGTTCAAATTCAGTGTCAGCTTTAATTAGTATAGCAAATGCAAAATCAGATATAGAGGATTTAATAGCAGAAGTTTTATCTTTATATAGATTAAAGAAGATATGAGTAATTGTTTATTTCTGCTGGGTTCCATATTGGGATATCCGGTAAAGAAGTTGCCAACAAATTATCAAAGCAAGCACTAAATAAGCAGGAGGTGAATCTACCTTTGGGGAAAAGGGAGGTAAAATTAATTTTAAGGAAAAACTTTTCAATAAATGGCAAATTAGACTGGATAATAGTCATACTGAAAGATGATACTGCAGACAGTTGGGACAACACTATCAAGGAAGGGAAAAAAAAGAAAGAAGTGTGGTTATCAAGATTAAGATTGGGACACACAGGGTTTAAAGCAACACTTGTATTGATTGGTCCACATGAAGATGGGAAATGTGATGTATGTGGTGTAACGTTTTTTTTTTTTCAGCTTTGTCTCTTTATTAATCAGGGGTTGCCACAGCGGAATGAACCGCCAACGTGTCCAGCATTTGTTATTACGCAGCGGATGCCCTTCCAGCTGCAACCCATCACTGGGAAAAACATGGATATACTGTAAGTGTAAAATATAAACAAAAGTCATTGTGAGCACAAAACCTGTCATCACACAAACACGATGCCCAAATGAGCTTATGTTATCCAAGCAGTCAGCTAACCAGATTTTTGCGACACAGCCCCAGTAGAACTTTTTTTAAAAAAAATTTATTTGCCTTTCAAAAACAACAATTTAGGCCAAATTCAGTCTAAACATAATCTTGCACAAACTGACTGAGACATGTCAGATATACAGTGAATTAAGTACAAAACCAAACAAAAAAATAAAAATAAATAAAAAACAATGTTCAAAATAACTTAATAAAACGAAACAAAAAGAAATAAATAACAACATACCATGCAGACATCTAACAGAAACTCTGTAAGGGGTTGAATAAAACCACATTTAAGAAACAAATCATATAATCTTATAGCCTTCTCACCTTTCATTATTTTTAAAGCTTCATAGGTGGCAAAATCCTTTTTAAACACAATTAATTGAGGAGCTGCTTCATCCACAAATTTTGCATTTGTGGATAAGGAATTTAAGTAAAATGAGTAAACACTTTGCAGTAAAGTCATCATCTTTGCTGTCCAAATGCACACCAAATTTCTCAATGTCCCAACAAATAGAAGGAAACCTTGAAATGTAGTGTTTTATCCAGACTTCCACATTTGACCAAAAAGAATTAACCAAATTACAATGAAGAAATAGATGATCAACAGTTTCAATATCACAATTGCAAAATTGACAAACATTACAATTAACATTAAATCTCTTTCTTAGAAACTCCTTTGCAGGGTAAATATCATACATAATTTTAAATATGCTTCTTTGTATTTTGGAGGAAGAGGAAATGTCAAATATTTGCATCTAATTTTTTTTAACTAACTTCTTATTAAAATGTTGGAAAATATAATTTCTTTTAATAGGACCAGAATAGCATTCCTGTATAAGACATTTTCTAATAAATATATTTGTACATCTCTTGTCCATAAAATTTAGCTTACCAATTTTAATGTCCCGAATTTTTGGTGTGACTGTGGAATAAACTAGTATCTCTTTTAACACATTAATTAATGGTAAGGGAATACTTCTAATTACGTATGTGGTGTAACTGAAAAAGTGGATCATGAACTTTTTATATGTAGAGAATATATATCTTTTTGATTTGTAGTGATTTTTTATTTACTCAAGTGTGGGCAAGAAAAATTATATATAAAACTATTTTAGGAAAATGTATAATGGATTGGCAAGTATGTAAAGTGTTTATTATATATATAGAATTCAGGTTTAGGTTCTAGAATATAGGCTAATATTTTTATGGATGAGAGTATTCTCAATTATGGTGAAAAAGACCCTATGTTAGAGGAGCTGAGCATGCAGCACTGACATGAATATGTGGTCTGAATGCAAAGATTGGAGAATGTAAAACATCCAAAGTTTGTTTTTATTTAATTTTTTTTATGTGTCCCTTTCCCTCCCTTCCTTCTCGTGTATTTTTCCTGCCACTTTCTAAAATTCAGACTCATCACAATCACATACTTACATCCGGTACAGTAGGTGGCAATAATGCTGTTAATGAGTTAGTCGCCATAAAACAAGAAGAAGAAGAATTACTTCCGTTGCAGTCAGATCTTGAACCTTCACCCCACGTCCATCGTACTTCCTTTTCCGTCTGGTGTGTTAAAAGGTATGGCGTGTAGCGTTTGCGCTTAAAACTGGACTCGGGCTATCCGTCGTCATCTGCCGTTGTTAAAGATTAAATTTACGATATACAGAGTTATGTAAATAGTTTACAGTCTAACAGAAAGATACCGTTGCAACATTAAGTAATTATGTTGCCTAAAATAGAGTTTTGGGACTTCAAGTTGACGCTGTGACCGCTGAAGTTAAAAGGAACTCAGCAGGCTGTGGATGTACTAGTATTAGTATAACAATTGTGAACGTATAAATTAATAAATCATTGTAAGTTTAACGCAGCCAAGCATGAACTTGAACACGGTTGTTTTTTTCAGGTCAAGATGGTGCAGCGCCTGACATATCGCCGTAGACTTTCCTACAACACTGCGTCAAACAAGACCAGGCTGTGAGTGCGGTTGCTTGACGTAAAAGATTTTTATGTAACGTTACCAAGTGATAAGTCACTATACCGCGTTCAATTCAAGCTTCAAGTATTGCACTTAACGGCTGCTTTCGGTCGCAGGTCCCGTACTCCAGGTAACCGCATTGTGTACCTGTACACGAAGAAGACAGGCAAGTCACCTAAGTCAGCTTGCGGAATTTGCCCCGGCAGACTGCGTGGAGTAAGTAGTGATTCATATAATTTTATAGATGTGTTCATATAATTATATATGGCTGATTCCAGCGTTATGGACGTGACATTTGCAGAAAAAAATGAAACGTATATACTCGGAGAATGTATATGTTAACAGAATATTGAAATATCTGTTTATGTTTTTATTACCCCTTAACCATGGAGTTTAGGCATCAAAAAAAATATCAGTCTATGCAGGTGTTTTATATTTAAAATGACAGCAAAATGAGTGCGTTACGGACGTGACAAAAAAAAGACTTGAGTTTTATGAGTTGACATACTTGGTTAAAATTCTGTGAATAAAAATGCAGAAGCCAAAAATATATATAACAGTCAAAAGGATAAGGGTTGGGTCTGCATGGGACATTTATAATTCATTTTATTTAGTTTTTCATTTTTGCATTAATGAGGGAAAACTATCGTTACGGACGTGACTTGTCTTCGTTACGGACGTGACTGCTCTGAAATTGAGAGTTGACACATTATGAAAATCAGATAAATGCTTTCAAAACTTGACAAAAGACCTATTTGTGGATATCTGTTGGGTGTGTAAACCAATAAACTTTAACCTTTGAGACATCTGAATGGTAAGGTTGCACAATTAATAAATAGATATCACCTTGTTATATATAATTTGTATTATGGCATGTGTGTTGTTAAAGGTAAACGCACGTTCGAATGTTCAAAACTCATTTCAGAAACAGTGGTGCATGCTAACATGGTGCTTTTATTCTCTGAATAATATAGAATTGATAATAAACATAATCAGCTATAATAGGCCTATGTTTATCGGGCTCCTTCCAGACAAACTTGAATTGAATCATTGCCCGACTGTTAGTGCGTAAGATCGTGTCTACGTGGCGAATATTCAAAATCTAGTTGTGTCACAGTTATGGCAATATTATATTTGACAAAGTTTATTTTAGTTTATTCTAGTTAATGTGTTAGTCGATTGAATAAATAGCTTAATTTGTCCACTCGCGCTTGCTTTCTTTTTCTCGTCGGCAGTCACTTCAGGACAGGTTGAAAAAATTTAAACAGAGGACCAGGATGAGAGAGAGAACTTTATTATGAAAGGTTTTGTGAAAAATAGCCATTAAATGCAGGCATGTACGATGGATGACTAATGTTTATATTTTTAGGCTATAGTTTATAACCGATTGTGTAAAATATTGAATGACATTACAGCTGCAGGTGCTATCGATTTACTAACAAATTAAATACTCCAATAAAGCTTAGATCAATATCAAGATTTTATTCTTATTTTGCCGCCTGTAAAATAATTTTAATAAGCACTCAAGCACGTTTGCCGGGTGCTTGAAATCTTTGAAAATGTTTTCATTTTAATGTAGGCTATAGCCTTTTTTCCAGCTTTGAAAGTGCTTAGATTTTGGATAAAGGGCTTGGAAAATTAATTGTCGCTATGATAATTTATCTTTATAAATAGTTATTTAATTAATAAAATAAAAAACATTTATGCTCTGCATGAAATGAAAACTCCGCTGTGGCCTGTGCAAGTGCCTGCAGCCTGACCCACGGCGTGCACATTTTGAGCAATGGGAAAAGACCAAATGCATGGAGGTTATTGATTTTGCGCCCTGCATGCGCGCCTGGCGTTTTGCCATTGCCCGCTTTGTGAGCTCCAGGGGAAAAGCATGTTACCTCAGTGGCGTCTTTCATTCTTCAATCAAATGAAAGCAGAGGCGGGGTTTCCTTTGAGGTGACAAAGTGTGTTGTCAAGATTCGGTGAACTTTTTAATAAAGGAGTAGAGACTTGTGGTCGCTCTTTTAAGTCATCCAAAGTTGTATGACTTTACAAATCTTGAATTTCATAATATTATTTTAAAAATTAAATTATGACAACATTGACAGCAACATTAGCGCACAATAGACCAGCTGATTCAGTTGTTACCAATAGTGACATACAAAACAGCACCATGCTCCTTTTTTTCTTGTCAATATAAAATGCATTGCGGAGCGCCTCACGTCTCTGGAATGAAAAAGCGCGTTCGTTGTGATCGGCCTCTATGAGCAACACATTTGTTAACTCGCAGAACAGTAACACGTGCAAACACGTGCTTACAGATGTATTTTGCCAAAGAAGCAAAATGATAGAAGGATATTCTGCCCACAGTTTGACACAGGAGTTGACGAACCAGCGCTGATGCTGGTCGTCTGTGCTGCCTGGAGCCGCGTCATAAACTCAACTATATATTGATGATTTAGTGCAGACTAACCAACAAACCAATTTTTTCCATTTGGAAAATAACAGTTATTATTAGTTCTTATATACATTTTTAAATAGCCTACATAGCCTAATCTACAAATCAAACAAAGCCAAATAGTTTAGGATAACTTCGCACCAAACTGATGCTTTCATTTTACAGCTTATAAAACATGCATGCAAATGAATACAGTATCACATGTAAATAACAAAATTGTTATATCCTTAGCCTATATTTAACAAAAAGTATAGGTTTAAAGCCTTATGGTTCATTGTCATTATCTTTCATCTATACTCACCGCACGCGCACATGAACCGCAAGTAAGACAGAGGAAATAGGCTAATAAATCATAATTAAGACATAATCTATAAACTAATGACTTCTATTAAAAATGTTGACAGGTTTTGTAATATTATAACAGCGGAGCATTATTTGAATGCATTTTTTCCGTAAAGCAATCTATTTGAGCTAGCCTAATATTTTTTAATTGACGGAAGAAGAAAAAAACACGATTGGACAGTCTATGCTGATTCTTAAAAAGCATTCAGTCAATGTTTTCGTTTTGTAATCTTAATTTGTCATTTAAGTAAAAACGTTTAGAGCAGGATTTATTTTATTATTTTTGTTAGTTTATTCAGTTTTTCTGTGCTGCTAAAAAACACTGCAGGTGCGTGAAGATGCTCGATCCTTCTGTATGCTGTTCGCATGTTAAAATAACCTAAATCAGTATTTTAAAATGCAATATTTAATGTGTCAGACAAAATAGGCACGTCAATTTTTTTTATTAAATAATATTTTGATATTAATCTGTTAACGGTTAATATCGCTTGACGAGCGGTTGTTGGTTGGCAAAATGAATCGAAATCAGCATTCCTAGTTTGGCATAAATTGTAGCTTAACTATTTGATCTATTATTTGACGGTCAGTAACCCTATCTACAAAAGAAACAAGAAGTGCTTCAACACAAGGTGCTGCATCGCCAAAACACCAAGATTATGCGCCAAGATTATGGCATGTAAAATGTTGTTCTCTTTATTAAACATTTATTTTTGAAATGTTACTAAAATGGTTTATAGCTAACTGAAATGTTCAGTTCTTGATATAACATATGGATGTTATGTAATGTAAGTCAGTAATTGTAATGCAGCATCATAATGAACAAATATGTGCTAGTCATTGGCTTATATTAATAAGGAGTTCAAAAATGGTCACGTCCGTAACGCAAAATTGTAGTTGTTTAAAGCAAAGACCTGAGATGAGTTGGCGATCATAAGTATGGACATATTGTGGCTTTGTATACAAAGTTTCATTTTATTTGTTATAATATTTATTTCACAATATAAACTTTTTCATTAAATCGTTACGGACGTGACACGTGACCGAAGCTGCATGATGTCTTAAATATGTAGCTCATAAATCAAAAGGGCAGTAATGTTATGAAAAAGTATGGGTAATTATTTATACTACAGACTCCAATCCTTCTGCAGAATGATTACTGTTAACAAAGCATGGAAAAGGTGAGTCTTTAATCCCTTTTTCTAAAGCACGAAATGTGGTTGGATTATAATGAAATTTACCATTGGCACAATCCTCATATTTCATGGATAAACAAACCAATTTCCTTTAAAATTCAACAAGAGCACATCATTACAATAAAATATAGACCTTAATGAGCAAATTTAAATAGGTTTTGTTATTTTGGTCAAAAGTTTATTTTTTCATGATAAGGTTGACATTTTTATGGAATGACCATATATATATATATATATATATATATATATATATATATATATATATTAGGGATGTGCGGAGCAGCCGGTTTTGTATTTGTTGAGGGGGGAAAAGTATTTGTATTCGAGTAAAATTCAAAATGGCGCAAAAATGTATATTTTTTTCTATTACACTTCTAATTTACGTTATAGTGAAAGTATTGTTTAATTATACCCATTATATAAATTATAGATATGCAGTATTGGTTGTTTTTGAACATGTGACAAGAAATGTCATTGAAAAGAAAATAACATAAAAGCCATTATCTCACCCATGGTTAAACCAACAACTAATAAAATACCATGGTGAATATTATGAACCCCACCACCACCGTTCTTGTTGAAGGACACTGAATAGACAGAATAAAAACAAATAATACTTCAAAAAACTGTTCTTCTTCTGAAAGAACTTCTTTCCAATGGACAGAATTCCAAAAACTAAAATTAACTAAATAAATCTAAATAAAACCCTGCCTGGGAGATCTGGCAGAACAAAAGTATTCTATATAATACTAAAAGATACAGCCCTGCTATTGTCATCTGCCTGCCACAAAACAGACACAAAGTTTGTTTTTTGTTTTTTTATGTTTGAAACTGACTTGCTGGGGCAGAATGTGGCTGTGTTGATGGTTTGGTGCTTGTGGAGGATTTAGCAGAACATAGCTGTGCTGATTGAGGGGATTGATGCTGGTGGGGGTTTACAGACAGTATCAGGAGAGGATGCTTTTAGTGCATGTGATAATACATTACATAGAAGGTTGCGCGGTGGCACAGTGAGTACCACTGTCGCCTGACAGCAAGAAGGTTGCTGGTTCGAGCCCTGACTGGGTTCTCCCCATGTTGGCGTGGGTTTCCTCCGGGTGCTCAGGTTTCCCCCACAGTCCAAACACATGCAATACAGGTGAATTGGGTAAGCTAAATTGTCCCTATTGTATGTGTGTGAAAGGGAGTGTATGGATGTTTCCCAGTGCTGGGTAGCAGTTGGAAGGGCAGCC